ACGAAAAAATAATCAACAAAAAAAAAAAAAAAAAAAAAAAGGGATTTTAAAAAAAAAAAAAAAAAAGGAAAAAAAAAAAAAAAAAAAAAAAAAAAAAAAAAAAAAAGAAGAACACATATAGGCATATATATATATATGTCGTAAAAACAAAAAAAAAGCAGCAAATGGAAGATAACTGTAGTGAACTTAAAATGAAGCACGTAAACAAAAATTAAAAATTAGCACATAGACACATGGTAGCAAATTTACAGGGGCTTAAGCAAAATGTTGTTCAAGAGTATACAATTGACGCGTTATTTTGCAGAGTGAACTGCTACTGAAAAAAAAAAGAAAAAGAGAGGATGGCAACATGGAATGGAAGGAAAATAGAAACGACGCGGAGACGAAGTGGCATGAATTAGCACTGAATTGCAAAAGGGGCGAACGGAGAGCGCAACAGAAAACAAAAAAATTAAAACTACGCTAACTGGTGTAAATATTAGGGACAACATTAAAAATTAAATGAATCACAAACTCTATAAATTTACGGACAACAAAATGTCGTTAGCTAGAACACAGTTGGAGACATTGTAAGTGTTATATCTGCAGAAAGAACAACAAAACAAAGAGGAGAAAATAAAAATTATAGCTAATGTAGGTGTACAGAAAGTAAACTATCATTTTTGATGCAGAGTTATTGAAATGGCAATAATTAGGAGGGTTTAATTTTTGTTAAAATTTCATCTGTGCATTGATCGCAGACGGTTACGCGGTTAAGCGGTAAACTGGTCCATTGGTCAACGGGACAATTGTTCAAACACTTGTGCAAGTATGGAACGTTGCAAAAAGATTAATTCCTGTCTACTCGTGCGAAGCTGCAAGTACACGAATGCAACATACATGCGTAGATATACGCGTATGCACACACATAAATGTGTACATGTGTGGACATGGACGCGTACGTACAAAAACATACAACACAAAACAAATGTTATTATTTGCAATTCGGTCAGAATAGAATTGTTTTATTGTTTGTTTTTTTTCCTTCTTCTTCCTGTTCTCATTATTTCGCTTGCTCATATATTCCTCTCTCTCACTCTCAATGTTGGAATTTTACAATTTAAAACAAATTTTTGTACTATTGTAG